GGCTGTGTAAGCTTAATAATGGACTTAGGACATGACTCAGCAATAAGTAATTCAGTTCTTTGTCTTTTGGGCCGATCTTAGCGGGGTCTTGTAGCGCTAAAGCTATGCTCTACACCGCCTTACTTACGAACGGTTATCTTTAGAAATGACTTGGCTATAAAGGAACTTTCTAGACTGTTCTCTAATTCACCCCTTTTTGTGAAGCCGCATCATTACTAATGGTCTAGAGCTTTCCCAATTAATTAACTGATCCACGGACTTCTGAATCACTTCATGCTTATGATCCGAGATCCAGATCATCAATCATTCCTTTGTTCTGATTTATTTGAGCTTAAAATCAAAAAGTTTTGATGAATCATGGGAAAATATACAAGATCCGGTTTTTTAGCATTTTCTCCTCTTCTGATGTGATCAAAAACTGTCCGCCCACGCCGGGGAATACTCTGTCATATGGTATTCGGTCCGCCATACTTCCGGGCATCAATATATTTCCCTTGAGTCACATTACTTTTTGTAAGAATTAGCAAATACATATATGCGAATTATAAGGTGTTTCGCTGTTTGAGCTATATCTCCATCAGTTTTGAAGCTTTTAGAATGAAACAAAACCGTGGATAAAGTTAAGAAACAGTCCTTTCATATGGTAAAAGTATTACAGTCAAAAGCTTTCTGGTTCCCGAGATATTTACATTTCTTTCCCAATGTTCCTTCTTATTCTGTCGTCTATGTGCTATTTTCTTGTTGTAGGGATATATTCTTTGAATATTATACCTATGCCAGGTTCTAGGCATGCTTGTAGTAGATTAAATCTCATTCTACATGGGTGTAGATAATTTATAATGATCTTCTAATGTCTGTCCAGTCTCATAAAGATCATGAGATCTGTTAAACATCTGAACTTGTCACCTGATTGTTGACTATTCTGATAGATCATTGTTTTATTCTTTGAATATTATTTCTCCTACACCACACCGATGTAGCATGAGATTTTTACATTTCTTTCCCAATGTTCCCTCTTATTCTGCCGTCTATGTGCTATTTTCTTGTTGTAGGGATATATTCTTTGAATATTATATTTTCCTACACCTATGCCAGGTTCTAGGCATGGTTGTAGTAGCTTAAATCTCATGCTACATTGGTGTGGTGTAGGAGAAATAATATTCAAAGAATAAAACAATGAGCTATCAGAATAGTCAACAATCAGGTGACAAGTTCAGATGTTTAACAGATCTCATGATCTTTATGAGACTGGACAGACATTAGAAGATCATTATAAATTATCTACACCCATGTAGAATGAGATTTAATCTACTACAAGCATGCCTAGAACCTGGCATAGGTATAATATTCAAAGAATATATCCCTACAACAAGAAAATAGCACATAGACGACAGAATAAGAAGGAACATTGGGAAAGAAATGTAAATATCTCGGGAACCAGAAAGCTTTTGACTGTAATACTTTTACCATATGAAAGGACTGTTTCTTAACTTTATCCACGGTTTTGTTTCATTCTAAAAGCTTCAAAACTGATGGAGATATAGCTCAAACAGCGAAACACCTTATAATTCGCATATATGTATTTGCTAATTCTTACAAAAAGTAATGTGACTCAAGGGAAATATATTGATGCCCGGAAGTATGGCGGACCGAATACCATATGACAGAGTATTCCCCGGCGTGGGCGGACAGTTTTTGATCACATCAGAAGAGGAGAAAATGCTAAAAAACCGGATCTTGTATATTTTCCCATGATTCATCAAAACTTTTTGATTTTAAGCTCAAATAAATCAGAACAAAGGAATGATTGATGATCTGGATCTCGGATCATAAGCATGAAGTGATTCAGAAGTCCGTGGATCAGTTAATTAATTGGGAAAGCTCTAGACCATTAGTAATGATGCGGCTTCACAAAAAGGGGTGAATTAGAGAACAGTCTAGAAAGTTCCTTTATAGCCGAGTCATTTCTAAAGATAACCGTTCGTAAGTAAGGCAGTGTAGAGCATAGCTTTAGCGCTACAAGACCCCGCTAAGATCGGCCCAAAAGACAAAGAACTGAATTACTTATTGCTGAGTCATGTCCTAAGTCCATTATTAAGCTTACACAGCCCAAGCCCCTATATCATTCTAGAACTATCTATAATACAAATGTAACACATGTAACTAGTGCGAGGCGTGGGAGTAGAGAGGCCTCTGAAAAGCATAAAAGGCCGCCGCTTCTGCCCCCTCTCAAACCTCAGGTAGAAATATAAGTTTAATTCTCCTCACCAGTGGTTGGTTTGTTTGCTCCAAAAGATAAAAGTTGTTAGCTAATATAAAACTAACACATCACTCTAAGTGTGAGTTAGGGTCAGTTAGACACAGCTGAACAAAAGTGTCATAGTGAGAATTAGTGAGAATTTGGTGGAGGGACTTCTTAATTGAATAATCTCTCAGTAATATTTGGTTATCACACCACAGGAGAAAAGTGAGCGATCCTGAACCTGCTAGATAACTAGCATGCACTCAAAGCGATAGAAAGAGCAGTTTGGTCACTCCTGTATTGAGTAACATTTATTATGGAATTATTTTATTAGTAGTTTTCCTTCAGTAAATTATCAGGAAAATCACATCCTACTGAAAAGTGGTATATCTAGGTGTAATATTGACTAGAAATCATAGTAAAGTCAATATAGAATTTTATCCATAGACGATCTATACGTCAGGTGAGATCGTTGGGGGGTGTTTATTGTTGTTTAGACAGTGAACAATTATATATTTGGTAACCAAAACACAGTCAGTACGCAAATCAGCACAAACTCTAATATCGTTATTGGACATAGGAAACTGGTTACATAAGGTGATCCAGCTCCGCTCCTTCACCATAAATGGCAAGGGCCGGATGGAGCTGACCTAATGGGGTCAAGGGTTAGCTGACTGAATGCTACCGATGACTTGGGTTACGGGGTTAATGGGTTGTAACCCAGAAGTGGGATGGAGGGATTGTCAGGGTACCGAGCTGCTCGGACTCTAAGTCGAGGGATCCCGAGCCTTTGCTGGAGCTGAGGCTGAGGGGGACAGGGTCAGTCTCAATGGGGGAACCTGGCAAAGCAGATTGCGATAGGGATTCCAGCTGAGCAGTGAGGGGAAGTGAGATCATATCATTGTATATACTATGTACAACATACCTGAGCAGCAAGGGGAAGTGAGAGAAGAAAGTTATCTTCCTCACTCGCTACCCAGGGAATGATAAAGTCAGTATGCCCAGCAAAGCGGGGCCGCTCTACAGAAGGAAATATAACAAATGTCTGTGCAAGTCCGGGGATGATGATCAGGCTGTGCAGGTAATGTCAGTCTGGGGCAAGTGTGTCATCAGTTGTGTGTAAGCAGTCCAGACTTAACTGGGCTGTACTCTGACAGGGATCTGTTACAAGGATGGAGAGAACTTCTCCCTTCTCAAACCATTCTTGTAGCTGGAAGATGATTGCAAGATCTTGTATGTACCTTAATGGGAAGTGTAATCAATGGGAGGTCCCAGTCGTGTATGAGAGTAGATGATCAAATCCCCATTGATCATGGTTCACAATGGAATGAGTTATTAAGGGTTTGATTACATGTAGTTGGGGATGCCAGGATAGATAGGTTGGCCATGGGTACTTGGTGATCCTCAGGGGAGCATACTGTGTGCATTGTCACGACTTGTACGTTGTGTGAAGATCCCGTATCGTTGCTATTGGTTACTTGGTGTTCGTAGTACGAATGTACTGGTAGCAGGTTATAATCATGAGAGCCCAGTAAGGAATGGCTAGTGGGGCCTTCAGTGACTTGGTGTTCCCAAAGGGAACATACCGTTGGCAGCAAGGAACGATGACTGACAAGGGAGGGACCAGACAGTTGATGGGCAGCTACTTGGCGCTTGTGCAACAAGTGTGCTGGCATCACAGGAATATGAGTCTCAGAGCAGTCGTGATCCCGAATACCATAATGTGATGTTGTCCGTCAAACGCTGGAGGGAGAGCTAGGCAATGATGTCCTGTAGGACATGGGTTCCAGTGAATGATACACAAGTCATGAGGCTTTGACTCATGACTTCAAGTCCTCATGGCAGGAACCGCCAGATGACTCGACATAACCAGGCATATAGGACATATTGAAGGTTGTACACACACACACATGTGTTCAGCTGAGTCACAGAAGGGGTTGTTACAAGAGACAATGCACAAGGTAGTTTGTAGCAAGTCGTAGTAGTTAACAGGAACTGCCTCCAGTGGTTTCTGTACATGACACGTGACTATCTATAAATGGAAAGGTCATGGGAAATCCCATGAAATGCAAACAACCTCGGCCAGCACCAAAACCCTGATGGGGAAAGCTTTGCATGAGGGGGGGAATGGAATAGAACGGGAGAGAATAGTAGGGTATTGGGAAAGAGAGGGAGAGAGAGTGTGTGTGATAGAAAGGGGGGGTCTTTGACAATGTGATGGATATGGTTGTTGGAGACTCTATATCCATAACAGGATCAGTCCGAAGGTGGACTTGCAGGGTAGGCAACTAAATGACCCAGCAGAAGTGGGGGTGCGCTTGCAGATGTTGGAGCTGTCTGGAGACCTTCAGGGTTCCATACTTAGGGAGGTGTAGGTAATATATTGAAATGGGAGGGTGGTGACCATTGGGGGGGGGTCGGAGGAGATTGTGGGATCCAGGGGCTCCAAGGCTGGAGATGAAGGAGCAGAGGCAATCTGGGATGGCCAGAGATGGCAGAAGGTGGTGGTGGTGGTGGATGGATATGACAATTGGCAATAATAGAGGACCTTGTCATCAAACACATTCAATCAGGGTCAAAAAATTTACAAGACCCACTACAGAGTAGCAGGAATTACAAGGTCTTGCAGGGAGTTGAGACCAAAGAGGACCCTGGAAGGCAATGGAATATGCAACAATAGAGGACCTCTTTGCACAGCAAAGTTTAAACCCATAGGACCCACTAGTGGAAATTTTCATTTTCAAAAATTTCTTTTTTTCCTTTCACATGCCCTTCATGGCCTACTGGGCACAGGTGGGTCTAGCGACACAAAGGCATGGTAATTGTTGGATATCAAAATGGTAACACACTCTCAGCCCCACGAAGCAACACTTGCCCACCAAATCTCATAGTCTGTATGCCGCCGGGAAAATAAGCGGCAACGTAGAAGATAAGAGTCACAACCTGAATGATGGCAAATATTAAACTGCCAAGGTAGGATTTGCGCTATAAGCAGAAGTCAGCATGACAACAAGTCTGAGAGAGAGTCGACTTGCCACCAAAGAGAAATATAGAGTGAAAATGAGAGAACCAAAGTACGAAGCGGAAAAAGGTAAACGCTGCGGGGCGATCAAGTGTTTAAAGTGATTGTGAACGCCCGATAAAACTGCAAAACTGAAGTGATGATCAAAGCCGACTACTCCCCCACCAATATGAATGATTCCTTACCCGAACATCACAAGGAGGCTTCCCAAACTGAGAAGAAATTGTAAGTTGCGGACCAAAACTGGGCGGAACGATGGCACCTGAATGCGAGGGCAAACTTCCCGGGTCGCAGAGCAAGAAGAGGGAGGGTGAAAAAAGCCACAGCAAAACAAACAGCCGATCCTATCAAACAGGCCCCGAATCCAAGCAACCTTCCAAAAATGACCAGTGAGGGTGGATAAATGGTGGAGGGTGGAGGATTACCTCTCCCATCGACTCAATGCAAAGTAAGCTTCCTCCTCATTCGACCTAAGTAACGCTGCATCGAAATTTGCTGATGACAAACAACAGTGCAATCGAAATGACTCTCACCGTTCATCCGAACGCAGAGGAACATAAGAGCTCATACTGTTGTACAAGCGAGAAAACACTCCCGGTCCTGGCTGTGTGTCAAGAGTTTGTGCATCTCCGACACGCGTTGGTGGCCACCGGAACTGGTCCAGAGCCCCTCGGAAATTTTGCTCAACAGACATGCGCGTTGCAGGAGAACTCCAGCCATCACGTGCCTCTGATGGCTCGGCAACTGCCTTCAATCGGTCTAATCGATCTTTCTTCCAGTCCCTACTCCATCCATGAGTGAAGACGACAAGCACCAACAGACTTTTGATCAGGCGCATGCTGGCGCTTCGCACACCTTTCCCATGCAGTGCTCTGCCTTGAGGAAGAAGTGAGTGCCTTCGATCGACTCATGTAAATGAGCATCCCGCCAACGCCGTCCTCCTTTGTCGTTAGTGGACACGTTGTCATTAAGGGGAGACCATGCAAGATCGTGGATATGTCCACTTCTAAAACTGGAAAGCACGGGCATGCTAAGGTTCATCTTGTTGGGATTGACGTAAGATGCGTGGCAATTTTTAATCCAATTTACACTCATCTACCTTCTCCCAGATTTTTACTGGTAAAAAACTGGTATGTTCCTAACCTGCCCCTTTTCGTGTATCCTTTCTGATCCAAGGAACTCCATAGGAAGATATTTCCCCATCAACCCATAACATGGATGTTCCTAACGTTAGTCGCACTGAATTCACGCTGGTAATAAATCAGTACATGCAATTACCAGTCAAATTATTCTGATTTGTCGTATTGAGATTGATATTGAAGATGGATTCCTCAGTCTGATGGATACCGATGGGGTTCTAAAGAACGACGTGAAAGTTCCCGAAGGCGAGCTAGGAGAACAGCTTAGGGCCGAGTTTGGAGATGGCAAGGAGCTTCTTGTTACTGTAGCTTCGGCAATGGGCGAAGAGCAGGCTACGTCCTTCAAAGAGGCACCAAAGAGTTAAATACAACGTTCGCTGGTAAGCCTTTTTTTTGGCAACTTTATTACGCATGTCCTCAAATTTGATACAGGGGCTCCGAAGTATCTCGTTCTCTCAGGTCCTCTGATCTCACATCCCCATTTACATGTTGCTTGTTCACTCAAATTGGTCAAGTCTTGCACGTTTGTACTTCTGATCACCTCACACGACTATGCGCGCGATATTCAATAGTAGAGTGACGACACATTATGTCAAACAAGATTTCATTTTTGCACGTCATAGTTTCTGACTAAGGTCAGGGTTGGTGGTTGGTGGTCGCTCATCTCCTGGCACAAACCCCGGACGATACTGGGCCGCACGAAGTATGGCTAATGTATATGAGGAAGTGTGGCGGAACTGTAGACAACTGAGTGATTCCGTCAGACATGTCTCTGCGCATCACGCTCGAGTGTACGATGTCAAATACCGTTGTGGTTCACCAAATGGAACCTCTCCTGTTGCTCCGGGCTGGACTCCGACTCGGTTCAGGATTTCAGTAATGGGGGCGGCATCCTCCTCTCGAAGCTCGCCGCGGTCTGGACAGGTTGGTCAGGGGGGGTGAGCACCATGACAAGAGGGAACCTACGTGCGACGCAAAGGGCAAGCTCATCGAAGACAAGCAGTCCGACAACGAGGGGGTCTTGCATTCTGGATCCACAGTTTCGATCAGAATGAGGAAGCACGGAGCTGAAACTCGTTTACATGTCATCCAAAACATCATCCATAGTAAGATGTTCTAAACAATTGAGGCGATATGAAGCACGCTGGAGTCTTGTCCAATGAAAGTGCGCTCAAAGGGGAACATTGCAAAGTGAGGTAGGCGACGTACATAACTAAGCACAATCCCGGCAATTCCCGGTGTGGCAGTACGCGGCAAATGGGTTGATACCGTCAAACATTTACTTTTTTTTGGCTGCCATAAGTTCCCGGACAATTTCCTGTGTGGCTTCTGCAGGAATTTGGCAATACATATTTTTTCACTGCCCATGTGTCAGGGCCCAGCACCCAAGCCCTGACCCCACACCACCTCCTCTCCTTCTCTACCAGTTGTTGTTTCACTGCCCTGTACACTCGTGTGAGCACGGAAGTGTGAGAAGACCTCCAGACACTGCCACAGTTCTGGGCGAGCTGCTCGCCCAGAATGTTCCCATGCCCTCTGAGTACTGCCACCCGGACCCTCCCCATAGTCACACCACTCAACTGGGGAACTGTACAGTCTTTCCTTTTATGGGTGCCATGCGGGGAGTTGAGAAGGTTACCCTTCTTCTCAACTTAGTGCCTGCATAGGCAAGTTGTACTTACCTTTTACAATGTCATACAACTTAGTGCCCACATAGCATAAGAGTACTTCCGGGTCCCAGGCCGGGCCCTGACACCATGCAGCTTCTTGACCATCAAGCCCTTTATCCATATTGCATAGTGAGCAGTTTGCAACCTGCAAATATCAGCAATTTTAATTCTGGAATGTATTTGGTGTTTTCCCCAATCTTGGGAAACCCCCCCTTCCAATTCAATCGGAGAATGCCGCAGGCTTCGGCAGTTGCCTTGCCCATATTTGGCAACACTACCCGGTTATTACCCAAGCAGACACTGCACAATCATGACTTGTGCCATGAAATGGTATGGTCACATTTTTCATCACTCATTGCCAACCTCCCCTCCCCACTATTCCCTGACCCAACCCAGCTATAGGCTGAAGGCTATTACCTAGCCTAACCCAGCTCTGAACTCCAAACCAAATTTGAGGTGGCACAGTGTCATTGCTCCCATTGCTGTCAATGATATACTTACAATGTTAGGGGAACAACCTTCAACCCATGTATCCTTCCCTCAGGGAACCATACAAATGTTGGTGAAGCACCTCAAAGGCTGCATGCTCTAAGATACTGTTTTGTTCAAAGAGGTATTGTAAGGCCAGTTGGGGTGCTGGCCTGGGTTGACTCGATCCTTAGAATGTCGAGATCTAGGCTGTATGGAGCTTATGATTCGACATCGGGGTGAGGGTAAAGAGTAAAGTACCCTTTACCCGAGCCTGAGCCATACATATGTAAATACCATTGTATACAAAGAATAAAGATGAATAAAGAAAGCGCGCTTTGCACGCATCACCGCTCTACCACCCATCCCTTACAGGTATCAATGCCATCACACTGCAGCCTCATTGGTGTGTGTCAGGGGACGACTCAGGTCCCCATGACCCTCCCCTATAGTCCACAGCCTCACATGTGTACAGCCCTGTCCAGGGCACAATCCTACTGTGGGTCAGAGATGAGAAGGAAGTTGGCTTCTCATCTTCCCACAGTGGATCGAAAACTTCTGGAGATATCCAGAAGTCACATGAGACCCGAGACCCGGGGCCTGGGGCATCTGGCCACATGGAGTGTCTGGCATAGGGCATGTGCAGGAAGTGCAACAGCCAGGTGTGGGTGCAGGTGCAGGTGCAAGTGTGGGTGTGGATGCAGGAATGGGCTAGGTCAGGGTGTATGCCCTGACAGTGTGCTATTAGACCACATGCTTGTGACCTCACTGCTTAAGGGTGCCTTGGAGCAATAGCTTGAGGCACATGTCCCAGAGAAGTTTTGTAACCAACATGTTTAGCACATACATATCCTTGCCATTGTGCTCAAATTATGAACATATTTTGCCCCTTTGTGTCAGGGGACACAGTGTAAGTGGTCTCCTGTTACTCTAGCAATATTGCATAAGACTATGTACCTGCATGTAGCCGCATTGGCCCCATAATTGTCAGGGCACACCCACCTCACCTGGTCCACCCGGACCTGGTCCCAGCTCCACCTGGTCCCCCACCTCCCCCTTCTCCTCTTTTCTTCTTTCCTTCTTTTCTTCCTTCTCCTCTTTCTCTACTATTCTTCCATCCCCTTCCCCTTTCTCTACTTTACCTCACTCTTGTTCTTTCTCTGTATTGATGTACTACTAACCCATGTACATGATGTGCCTGGTCCTGGGTGTGCCAGTCGACCTGGGTGCACACTCATCGTGCACCCACAGTGGATGCCTTCAGGACCTCCCATGGAGGCACCCGGATGGCTGCAGCTGTGTGTGAGAGTGATGTGGCACTGTTATGGAAATGGAGAATCTTATGGTCCGTGACAGGCAACCAGACCTTGAGGCCCTTTGCTATGGAAATGGGCCTAGACTCCTATAGACCAGGCACACAGGTAAGATATTTCTTACTTCTTCTCACTTCATTCTCTGCCAAACCCCATGCCAAGCTTTCCCACTGGGTTTTGGTGCTGGCTGGGGGATTTGTTGATTTCCAAAGGACTTCCTTTGGCCATTATAACATTTGTATTAGATAGATACAAGTCATATGACATGTATGGTAATTGCCGAGATGTTTTCTCATTATCAAATACATAACCCACAAACCTTGTACCGCGATTGTAACATCCTCACCATTGTGTCACCACTGTAAACTCAACCTGTAACCCTGGAACCATGTCCACCTCCCTATTCATCCTCTCCATGACAAAACCGCAACGAGGAGGGCATTCCCATGCCCAACCTCCTGCTGCCCGCTCCCACCAGTCCACCGGGTGGTCGAGTGGTTACTCCCATCCTACCAGAAGTTCCCTATCAGGAACTGTAGCCGATCCCACCTCCTCAGGAGAAGGATACGGTCCAGGCAGCTCCAGGATGCCTGGCCACGCACCCGCGGGTCCCACTTCCCACGGTCACCCACTACCGTGCACTGGTCCACCAGCCCGCTTTCCCCAACAACTCTCGCTACCGGTATGCTCCCATGAGCGCCAAGTCACTGATAGCCACCAACTGGGTGACTCCGGGAGTCCCAGTATCCCTCACTACCGGTACGCTCCATTGAGCGCCAAGTTACCGCTAGCCAAACACTCCCAGCACACCCGCTACCGGCACGCTCCCAGGAGCACCAAGTCCCCGTTAGCAGACAGCCAGGTGGCTCCCTCAAGGAGCCCACATCATACTCGCTACCAGTACGCTCTCAGGAGCGCCAAGTTACCGTCGGCCGACACACAGGTTGTACTTCCATACACCCATCCTATTCTGCTCTCCCTCCGATGGCTACGCAGCCACCTCCATTAGTGAGCCGAACGGCTCAGGTTGGGTTCCCCGGAACCCATTCCTGTAACATTGGTGCCCCAACCCCGGTCGCACCATCATCAAACTCAATCGTGCGACCTCGAGCTCACACACAGGAGGATTACTCATCTAACTTAGGCACTGTCAACTCAGACTATCAGTATTCCACTATCCCACTAAAGCGTGTGCTAGACGAGTTTTCATCACCACGGAGATTCTATTATGAGCACGCGCCTATGGACATGCTACATGAATGGCAACGGCTGGGCCCAGACAACATAGAGGTTCAGCCATTCCGCAAACTGACTACAGGCTCCTCCACCTCCTACCGTCTCATTGACGAGCGCTGTAAACAGCTGACCCTAATCCTTCGTGCGATGGACCACTTCACCCAAACCATCTCCGGTTCCGACCTCATCCTTGCCACGTTCAAGGCAGATCCAGAACAGATTGTCTACTCCACATTGATCACATCAGGCTGGACCGAGCTAAGCACCTTACATCGAATTTGGAGCTATCTACAGCGAAAACTAGCTGACTTTGTTATGCACTTTGAACATGCTAAGGAGGTCCTCGCCCTCACACAGTCCCGAGCAGCGAGCTCCCGTTTCGTCACAACCGACCCCTCATTGGCACCAGTACGACCTCGCACACCTGAGGTCATTGCGATCCCGCCCGCTGCAGAAAAATTGGAGTTGCCCTCACTACACCCGTCCTCAGCGCCAGATGGCACAGTTGCAGCTTTGTCAGGGCTCGGTCCTTGATCAGGGACAGCCCAACCTCAGGCCTAGGTGTGTGCGATGTTCCGGGTGGTTGGGCGCTAGACCCTGTCCTCAGCTCCTCAAACTCACTGAAGGGACTAAGCGGGGATTGAGTTGTCATGTATTACAGAGGGTAACTACAACTTGCCTAAGTGGGGATTGAGTTGAGAAGAAGGGTAAGTTTCCCTATTCCCCGCTTGGCTACTATAAAAAGGAAGTGTACTGTACAGTTCATAACGTGACTCCAGGTAGAAGCCGAGCATGTTCCCATGACTCGGAAAAGGTGTCACGTGGGTTAAGGCGAGTTGCTCGCCTTGACCCACGTGATTTTTCCCGCGGGCTCACATGCGGGCTGAAGTTGTGAGAGATATGTAGGGATGGGGAGGTCTGGGAAGTGGGGGAAGTCTGGGAAGGTGGTTCTGGGGTGTGGTTGGGTGCCCTGACAGTGGGGTCAGGGGCCGATCCCTGACAAGCTTGTGCGTCGAGCACAGAACGCTGCAACAGCTCGATACCCCAGTCTCGTCAAATGACCGTTCCTGCGCAACACTCATTTGAGCTGGCGCATCCATTGGTGCAACTTCGCCCAAGCGTGGCAGGTTCATTATGCGCAGGGCACCTCACCGGCTCAACCTGTC